TTCCCCCCGGGCCCCCCCCCACTCGCCCCATCCCCCTCCCCCCCCCCGCCCCCTTCCCCTCGCTCGGGCGGATGACCGACACGACTGAGGTGATGGTGGTGGGACGCCCTTCGTTGATCAACAGGCTCCCGCCCCTCCTCTCGAGATATGGGGAGATATGGGGAGAGATGGGGAGAGATGGGGAGATTGCGGTTGATCAACAGGCTCCCGCCCCTCCTCTCGAGATATGGGGAGAGATGGGGAGATATGGGGAGAGATGGGGAGATATGGGGAGAGATGGGGAGATTGCGGTTGATCAACAGGCTCCCGCCCCTCCTCTCGAGATATGGGGAGATATGGGGAGATATGGGGAGAGATGGGGAGATTGCGGTTGATCAACAGGCTCCCGCCCCTCCTCTCGAGATATGGGGAGATATGGGGAGATATGGGGAGAGATGGGGAGATTGCGGTTGATCAACAGGCTCCCGCCCCTCCTCTCGAGATATGGGGAGAGATGGGGAGATTGCGGTTGATCAACAGGCTCCCGCCCCTCCTCTCGATCGGCGGCGGCGCTCGCGATGGGCTAAGGCTGCTCGCCTCGCGGCAGCCGCAGCACCGCTCAGGACTGACTCGCCAGTCTCGCCGGCGACTCCCTTCCTTAGGCTGATCGTCGCGCGGCAGCCGCCCTACTCTGGCATGCCTGCTCGGCGAGGCGTCGCGCTGTTGTTTGGCGAGGCGCGAGACACTTCCTGGACACCTCCTCGACACTGCTGCTGGACACCTCCTGGACACTTCCAAGACACCTCCTAGACACCTCCCAGACACCTCCCAGACACCTCCCAGACACCGCCTCCTAGACACTCCCACAGACAGTTCCTACTGCTGCTGTTTTGGCGTGGCGCGAGACAACGCCACGCCGCCGCCGCAGCGGGCACTTGTTTAGTGGTGGACGTGTTGCGTCCAGGCGCGAGGCAGCGTCGCGCCGCCGCAGCTAGCGACGCTGACGCGCCTGAACGACGCGATGAACGGGTGGGCTAACTGGTTGGCGACGGTGGAGGCGGAGGCGGTGGCCGCCGTGCAAGCCGCGCCGGAGCCCGGTGCGCCCGCTGCCATCCCGGACCCGATGATCTGAACCCTCACCCCTCACCCTGACCCTAACCCTGACCCTGACCCTGACCCTGACCCTGACCCTGACCCTGACCCTGACCCTGACCCTGACTCTAACCCTAACCCTGACCCTAACCCTGCCCCTGACTCTAACCCCTGTCCCTGACACTAGGCACGCCCGCCGCCGGCCCCGACTTGCTCGGCATGCTCCGGCACGTCGGCCTGCCCGTCGACGAACTTCTCCCGCCCGCCACGCCAAACACGCCTGCGGCCGCGGCGACGCCGAGGACGCCACTCAGGCCAGACAGCAGCGGGCCAGACAGCAGCGGGCCAGACAGCAGCGGGCCAGACAGCAGCGGGCCAGGCGGCAGCGGGCCAGGCGGCAGCGGGCCAGGCGGCAGCGGGCCGGGCGGCAGCGGCAGCAGCCCTGCCCTTTGTGGCACGGGCGACGCTTGGGCCGTCGCGGAGCCGAGCTCGCCGCCGCCGCCGCCGCCGCCGCGGACTCCTCCTCCCCCTCCGCCCTTCCACGCGGCTGCGCCGGGGCGGCCGTCCTACTTGCCCGGGGCAGCGCGCCCGCTCCGCTGCGCGGCAGCGCACGCGTCTCTCGAGGTGCGTGAGGAGCACGGCGGCGGCAGCACCGAGCGATTCGCCCGTGAGCTGAGTTGCGCGCACGTGTCCCCTCTAGGTCGGCGCGAGCCACGCCGCGGTCTGCTTGCTGCTCTCCTCCTCGCGCGGCGCTGCCCCGCTGCTCGAGGTCCAGCTGAGCCCCGGCTCCGACGGCACGCCTCCCGCCCAGTCCTACTCCCCCATGTCCGCGACATGTCCGCGACATGTCCGCGACATGTCCGCGACATGTCCGCGACATGTCCCTCAGGCGACGGCACGCCTCCCGCCCAGTCCTACTCCCCCCTCGGGGGCGGCGCCGCACGGGACGGCGCGCGAGCCGCGCGACGCGTCCACGCCGTGTTGCACACGCGTCCGCGCGACATGTGCATGCACATGTCCCGGACATGTCCCTCAGGCGCCGGCGCGGCGTGTCCGGCGGCCGGGGCGCGTCCTTCGACGCGTCCCGGGACGCGTCCCTCGCCGCCGCCGGAGCCGGGGCAAGGGATGGGGCGGGGCTTGGAGGCGGGGTGGGGCGTGCGTGTGTGCCGGCGCGCCGGCGCGGAAGGCGGCTCGTCGCTGCAGCTCACTGTCGGGGGCGTCGCCGTCTTTGACGAGCGCGGGAGCCAGCCGCCGCTGGGGCGACATCCGCGCCCCGCCGCGCCTACCGCGCCGACGGCCGAGGCCGAGCCGGCCGAGGCCCCGTCGTCGCCGCCCCCCTCTGACGCGCGCGCGCGGGCGGCGCCTCCCCACTCGCAGCCGCGCTCCTCCCGCGACTCTCTCTGGCCGCGCCGCCGCGTGGTTGGCCGCACAGCGCCGCAAGGCCCGGCGGGCGAGGAGACTCTTGACGGCGCCGCCGGCGCGCTGGCCCCCGGGCAGGTAGAGCACGCCTCGTGTGCGCCCTCTCTGAGCCCTCTCTGGACGTGTACGCTGCAGGGCCGCTGCCCCCGATGCTCGAGCTCGACGCGGAGAGCGGAGGCGCGCAGAGCGGAGGGTGCGACTCGGTGCGGGTGCGGCTCGCGCTGCGGGCGTGCTGTGAAGAGACGCTGTGAAGAGGCAGCTGTGAAGAGGCAGCTGTGAACAGGTGCGGCTCGCGCTGCGGGCGTGCTCGCTGGCGGCGGAGGGCGCGCCCGTTCCGGGCGGGCGGGCGGGTGGTTGCAGAGACTTCTTTTCCGCGAGCCTCCTGGCGCTGTCTGCTAGGCGAGCTCCTCAGCCTCGGGCAATCTCGGGCAATCTCGGGCAATCTTGGGCAATCTCGGGCAATCTCGGGCAATCTCGGGCAATCTCGGGCAGTCTCGGGCAATCTCGGGCAATCTCGGGCAATCTCGGGCAATCTCGGGTAATCTCGGGTAATCTGCGCAGGCGAGCTCCTCAGCCCGGTGGCGCAGTGGTGGTCCGCCGCGTCGGAGGCGGCGGCGGAGGCGGAGGCGGAGGCGGAGGAGGTCGTCGCGGCGGACGCTGGGGTCGGGCGCACTGCAGTGGGAGGAGGAGGCGCCAGCACAGTGGCTGATGTGGTGGAGGCGTCCCTTCGTCGACACCGCACTCGGCTCGCCGCCCGCCGCTCTCCCTCGTCCGTCGCCCGCCGCTCGCCCTCCGAGGCGACGCGTGGCAGCCGAGATTGCTCGAGATTGCTCGAGATTGCTCGAGATTGCTCGAGATTGCTCGAGATTGCTCGAGATTGCTCGAGATTGCTCGAGATGGCTCGAGATGGCTCGAGATGGCTCGAGATTGCTCGAGATGGCTCGAGATGGCTCGAGATGACCCTAGCGACCCGTCATTTCTCGAGATGAGCCGAGATGAGCCGAGATGAGCCGAGATGAGCCGAGATGAGCCGAGATGAGCCGAGATGAGCCGAGATGAGCCGAGATGAGCCGAGATGAGCCGAGATGAGCCGAGATGAGCCGAGATGAGCCGAGATGAGCCGAGATGAGCCGAGATGAGCCGAGATGAGCCGAGATGAGCCGAGTCTAGGCGGCGCGTGACAGCCGGGGGACAGAGCGCCCCACGCCCGTCGAGATCCCGTCGCCCTCGCCCTCGCCGCCTCCGGCCGCGCCGCCGCCGATCCCGACCCCGCCACCGGCGAACTGGCGCGGCTCGTCGCGTTTCGTCACGCCCCTCGCCGCGCGCTCCTCGTCGCCTCGCCTGTTCGGAGGCCCGCCCCCCCCTCCTCGAAGCGCTTCTCCCCG